ATCCTCAACGTAAGAGCTCATATATACTTTACTTTTCGCATGATTTAACTGAAGTCCAGAAACCATACCAAAGTCATTCATAATAGTAGCCAGGTTCTTTACTGAAGTTGGATCATTTTGGAGAAAGATAAGTAAATCATCTGCAAATGTTATATGTGAATGTCTTGGGGATAGTTTTCTCTTACCATTAGAATATTGGCCATCTGCAAAATGGCGACTTCAGAGATAAACTATTTTCTAGTCAGCTAATTTGTCCAAGAAGCATGGAGAAGGGCTTGAGAGTATGCAGTTAATGTCTCTTTTACAGATATCTAGTTGTCCAATATATATAATTCTTTTACAGAGCAAGATGATGATATTTTAGAGGAGGTTGTCTACCCAAGAAAAGCAGATTGTAATTTGTTGCCATTGGCGACCAGGGTTTTCTTTTCTTCTCCTTTTCTTCAACTTCTGTGGTTAGTTTACCCGGTAGTATGATTGCTTGTATTATCAATTACCTTCAGCACATGCTAGATTGATTCAGTTTAAGGCCTAATCAAGCATGCCACTTTAATTTTACAAATGAAGGTAAGGTTTGACAGATAAAGTTTCAAGGAGGATCAATACATTAGACATTAATTACTATTTCACAACTGAACATGGGAAAAAAATTACTGAAATGATTTGAAATAGTTTTATCGTGTACTGTTTACTTTATGAGTTAGTAGAGAAACAGTTTTCCGGATCCAACGTATATTAGGTTTTAACATATCTCGTGCAAGTCGATCTTGGTTTGGTATTTGAATGAAACCTAAGCATAAGTTGCAAACCCAAATGAAAAATGTCTCACATACATACTTTTAATTAAACACTGGTAAGATGGGTAGATGCTGGATTTGAGCCCATGGCTTGCTCTGATACCATGATAAATAATTGAAATGGACACTATTAGGCAACAAATTGCAGCACTATGTGAGAGAGAGAGAGAGAGAGAGAGAGAGAGAGAGAGGCTTACAATAATTATAAGAAGTCTACTGATTTATTGGTCCTCCTGCAATAGGCCCCGGTGGTGGTGGTCTGTAGGGTGCTAACTTTAAAGAACGTCGGTGTGTTTGGATCTGCACTTCACCTGCACGCATCATCACAATACTAATCCTTCTTTTAACACAATATTTCCTAAACATGTGATGCTTGGAATCTATGATAAGTTTGGATCTGAAAACTTGCCTAGTGGAGTTCCAGACATGAGGAGCAGTTCACAAGTGATGATGATCACAAGCAGGATCACGCGGCAGGCATGGCTCAGGAACATTTTCATCATATCTGCCACAGGAAGTGTCTTAAGGTTTGCAGCTGTTCTTAAGAGTTCACTAAACCAAGGCTATATATATATATTATATATATATATATATATTTGTTGAAACTTCTTTAAGATGTTTGTAATGTGTTCTGAGTCTAATGGTTTGGTCAATTCATCTTTTCTGAGGGTTGAATGAGACAGGATAATTGTAGTGATGAAGTTGTATTTCTTGTTTACCATTCGCTTGGATGAGTCAAAGATTATAATAGTCAATTGCGTAGCAGTGAAGTTATTATTTGTCTCTTTATTTTCTGCAATAGATTTGGCAACAGCACATCTGAAGTAATTTGAGTACCGTAGACTTCTTTTTGTTCACTGATTCAAACATGACTCTCGTTGTTTTCTTGTAGCGGAGTGGAAGATTAATGGATGATATATGTCATCAAACTCTCTCAAAATTTTGCAATGATATGGATGGTAGCGAATGATGAGGCTCGCTCCTCACAATGATGCTGTTGATGGTAAGGAAGGATGAAGTCCTTTTCTCATAGGAATAATGATAGAGGTATTATAACATGGTCGACACCTTGGTAGCGAATGATGAAGCTTTGTCCTCACAATGATGCTGTTGATGGTAATGAAGGATGAAGTCCTTTTTCTCATAGGAATAATGATAGGTGGTCAACATTTCATCCTTGTGCAGTTAAATTTGGTGTCCCACGATGGGAGTTAAGTCCGAGCAACTTTTTATCCAAAAAAAAAAAAAAGAAAAGTTGTGCAAGTCTATTATAAAAAGTGCCTCTTAAGTATGTTCACAATTTTTTTTTTAATAAAAAAAGCTAGTCAATTTGTCCAAGTCGATCTAAGCATCGGAAAGATATTATCGGGAACGATGTAGTTTAGCAAGCATTAGTGTGAATTTATTGGTGTTGGAAGGATTTAGTCGAAAGAAAAACTCTCGATTGGATCTTTCAGTTGGGATAATTAAAATCTTTTTGATTCATTAAAATATAAATTAATACAACACGTATCATGTTATTAGACATTTGTAACTATGGTCATAGGAAACTAAAGATCATTTTTGTAGCAGGAATTAAAAAGATATATACATTAAGAAGAATATCTATCATCATTGTCCAGGCTGATGATAATATTAATAAACCAGAATCCAGACATGACTAATTGGATTAGTATGCATTCGAATATGGTACTTAAATCTGATTTAACTTGTTTCAAACCAGGTACACAGCCTTCAGTTGAGGGGCCGATCTAAGTCTCAAGGAGGCAGTGTCCTTTAGCCTGCAGGTCTCACTTCCATCGATGGCAGATGCCTTGACCATATACCGAGGAAGAAGAGGACCACTCAATGCATGCTTCTTCAGCCAGCTCAGCTCCATCTTCCTTCTTCCCTGATCCCAAAGAAGGTCTTCCTATTTGATTGTTCTTATTTCCTTAACTAATAAGGATATATATTTGAAATTATTATTTTTTATATATGAGTTAGCTTTATTGAGTGAGTCTTAATTTCATTTGTTTTAGTTACAACGTTTATGAATATATTGATTGTGTTTTGATGAAGGTATCAAAAATATTATAAGCATATTAAAAATAAAGTTTTTTTTTTATTTGACTGTTTTTATTCTTAAACTAATAATGATATTTATTTGAAATCTTTATATATATATATATATATATATATATATATATAATATAATATTATATCAGTTGGTTTATGTGTTTGAGTCAATTTGTTTTGTTTCAGTGGAGATGCTAAAAATACTGGAACTGATGATATAAATTTTACATATGAGAATCGGAACGATTCACTCTATGAATATGATTTTCTGATAATGGACTTAATAATTTTGATTTAAATTTATAGAAATGTGTGTGTGTGTGTGATATGACTTGTTCTCAATCTTAGAATGCGTTGGAGACATTTCATTGCAGGAGCTGTTCATCCTCTTCCCTCGTTTGGAACCTTGCCATCTAATGATGCCTGCCTCTCTCGTCAACAAAGCTTGTGTCAGCGAAAGGTTCTGCTTCCGAAGGCACCCTTCCAAGGGTTAAACAATGGCGAATGAGACAGCAGTAACAGTGACGCCATCCGCTTCGGAAGATGGCCGGCAAGTTGCACCCGTGAAGCCAGGAATCGCGCAGCGTAATGCTCGGGTGCGTCGGTGTCTTCTCTCCTGCTGTGTTCCTCTCTCTAAAGACATCAGCTCGACTTTTGTTTATTGGTGTGGCGTGATGTGCTGAACGTGAGATGGATCGGTTCTCTCAAATCCTGTGACCGGAAATGGATTCCAATTGCAAATCATTTAAAGCCGAGAGCCAGATTCATCACATGTGTTTCTCCAGTCTTGGCTTTCCCGTGACCCTCTCCCACTTCTCTTGAAAGACTCTTTGTCCATTTCCCACCCTCCCCTACTTTTTAAGCTGCTATGCTACGTGCTCTGCATCGTCCCCATGATCGGCCTGCTCGTTCCAGGAACTGCGGCACTCGTTTGAGTCATGGGGAGCGGTGGATACGGGAATTCTTTTCTGAGGCAACCGAGCGGTGGCGGTGAGGGATGGAGCTCCAAGTCGGCGAGGGGGTCGAGGAGGTGGGGGAGGAAGAGCCGGAGGGAGAGGGAGGAGGCCCCGAGCTGGTGGGGGGAGACCGGCGGTGGGATGGTGGCCAAGAAGAGAGTGCTTGTGGTGATCGACCACAGCGCGAGGGCCAAGCATGCCATGATGTGGGCGTTGACCCATGTGGCTAACAAGGGCGACCTCCTAACCCTTCTCCATGTTGTTCCTCCCGATCCCCACCAACACCACCACCACCACCACCACCACCACCACCACAGGGGTGGAGGAGAGGATGATGTTCCCAACCTCGCAAAATCTCTTGGCACCCTGTGCAAGGCCTGCAAGTCCGAGGTGTCCACTCGATCATGGTCCCCTCCCTTGTTGTTTTCTTCCTTGTTGTTAATCTCTTTTGCTTTGAAATCTGATGTGTAGGTGGAGGTGGAAGCACTGGTCATTCAGGGACCCAAGCTGGCAACTGTGCTCAGCCAAGTGAGGAAGCTGGAGGCTTCCGTTCTGGTGTTGGGTCAATGCAAGCCGTCTCCACTCTCTTGGTAAGATCAAGGACACACACACCCTCTCTCTCTCTCTCTCTCTCTCTCTCTGTGTTGGATCAACAACACCGAGACATCTCCAATTCCCTTTGCTCGTGAAACTTCGCAGCCTGTTGCGGAGCAGCAGCGAGGAGTTTGTGGAGCAGTGCATCAGCAACGCCGATTGCCTGACGCTTGCAGTGCGGAAGCAGAGGAGAGGAGTGGGTGGCTACTTGATCAGCACTCGGTGGCAGAAGAACTTCTGGCTCTTGGCCTAAGAAACAACTCTCTCTCTCTCTCTCTCTCTCTCTCTCTCTCTCATCTGCTAGCTGGTAATGATCCCTGCTCATGTAAATGAAAGGCCCTCATCTCACCTCATCCAACATCTGCTACTGTTGAATGCCCTTCTTTTCCTACTTTTTCATTCTTGTTAAATTGGTGCTCATTTGTAATCTCAACAATCGACTCAACCTTAAGAACATCATTCCCTTCTCAAATATTAGAATCAACCTTAAGAATCTGTGCTACTATCTATCATAATTTTGCAGTTTCCATGGCCTTGTGTGATCTATGATTTATAATTTAAAATTATTTGAATCAATGTTCTCTATTTCGCTTCGATCGGTACATATCAATCTATGCATGGATCGGTACACACGAATCACTCTCTCGATTTGGACGATCTGATTCAACACAATAAAAAAATAAAATAAAACTTTAAACCGGAGCTCATGTTTCATTTGATGTCGTCGTTTCATTTGACGTCGTCATTATCGTTTGCAATCATTTACCTCCTTCATATATTTCTTTCGTTAGTATCTTTTTCTCTCTCTCTTTTTTAATCTTCTAAAATATTTATCGATGTACTATGTATCAATACACTGATATCGATTGATGTTATGCCGATGTAGCATTTGTTGGCATGGTCCCATATTTATATCGGATGTTGATGGGGCATCAACTCGATAATGATATGTTATTTTACATGTGATAATTTAGGATCCATGATCAAACATCTTGGGATGACATAGACACTATTGGTGCCACATCAATGTCAAAACATCAATGCACTTACCACGTCATCGTCACGTGGTGTTGACGTGGACACTATTGGTGGGACATCATTCTCAACACATCAATTTATAAGGTGCCCATCGTGTTACATGGTGATGGTTATATAGTCTAGCTGGAATAATTAATGCATATATTTATCTAAGAAGTAATAAGGTCAGTCCTACATTTCAGTGGGATTTATTATTTACGTGCAGTGGTTAAATAGCAAATCAACGAGTTCGCGGATGTAACCCAACCTCACTCCACTGGGTTGATGATTCGAAATCTCATCGTCAAATCTTTGACTTGACATGATGATATATGGAATCTTCGACTTTACATGATGATATTTGGAATCTAACTCATCAGAGAACATATCAACCATGTAGCTATGATAGTGTTTACAAGCTTAGGACTCATGTTTCATGTGGTAGTAAATATAGAGTGTTTGCTTATATAAGCTTGTTTATTACCCTTCTGAGCCATTTGCCAGTTCTATGAAGATGATAGATATCACCCGAGAGCAACAAGCAAACTAAACTGCAAGAGAACAATGCTATGGAATCTGTGTGTCTGCAACATGTTTAAGCCTGATAAGCTCACTTGTCTTACACAAACAAAAAACATTTGTCTCAGAAATCAGAAATCAGTGGATAATTTGGAGAAGGAAGAGAGATGTACACTGATTTGCTGAGGATTTATGTCTGGACAAACAACAAGAATGTTGTTCATTGGTCAGTTCAGAATCTTCTTCGGTCACTGCTAAAGTACATACAACTCAGTGCCTAATCCACCACCTATATATATAAAACAAAAGAAAAGAAAAATACAATAATAATCGATACATAATATAGAACTCATTGTTAAAAGGGAGTTCCTAATATGAATTAGGATGTTTTTAGTTAGATTCATTTAGCTTCCTAATGTTGTCAATATACAAATCCAAACAAAAGACATCGATCAAAGTGTGTAAGTGGCAATGTTTTTCCACTCACATTACAACAAAGTAACATCTGCTAGGTCACTTTGATCGGTGTTTAGAATAATGCATCCGCACTTCTCCCGGTCCAAATTTCTAATCTAACTCTTAATTAATTGCTAGATGAAGCTTATTACCGGTGAGGGCTATACTTGGGACCTCAAAAATCCAAAGGATCAAACTTTAGAAGATTTACCTATTTATTTATTTGTGGATGCTTTGAGTCGGGATATTTAAAATTTCATAGGAAACATTATATGGGTATAATGTTTTTATTAATCCATTTAAGTTATTAGCTGAGAATTTATTGAGAAATGTGTTAGTCATAGGTGCTCTATAAGCTAATTACATAAGTGATGACACGTATGATACATTTTTTATTATTTATTAATATTTTCTCATTTTATATTGCTTGTTGCATATATTGTATATTGTGATATTCATAAATTTGTGTAATGAGAATCGGATCATGATGAGATCACAATAATAAGATCAATTCATCTTTAAATACATACCCTAAATAATCCTAGTCATAGGTCACTCGAGAGGGACATCGAGATAATTGGACAGATTGGTCTGTTGCATACCTGTCCATATGATGGAGGTATTAGTCTCATGGTTGCTTATGTGGGGACACTAGGGATATAGTGCAGGTGCTCATTGGAGAATGAGTTCACTGATTAATCTGCTCACAGAATGCTGGATGGTTAATGATACCTCATTGTTAGACAACAATTCCATGGTCATGGTTGTGTATCTGATCTTAAACTTGAGATACCAAGGATGTCCTATATGAGTATTCCACTCTTTGATACTAAACTTATAGGTTTGGAAGTTTTAGATCTAGTATAGTTGATTGTCGGGAGTGGTAGCCAATCTTACAAGGGGTATTGAGTGTCGATAGAGGATTATTCGCTCACGGTGTCATGAGAGAAATATCTCATGTATTCTTGCTCAAACAAATTCCTAGCTAGAGTTATTCGGATTGAGAGAGAAAGAGTTTTCTAGGAGAATCCGATTAAAGCGAGACTCGAGTAGAAACTATATGAGTCTGATAGCACTATGCTTGGTAAATGATCTTTGGGATATTAAATGAATGAAGGATTATAGATACATGACAATTGAGGATAGATAGGTCCAATGGATTGGATTTCCTTATATCGTCTAGGGACTGCAACATAGTGGCATAGTACGTCTGTAGTCGATAAATCATATGAATAATTATGAAGATAATAGTTCACTAAGCTAGAAGGAGTTCTGACAGGTATGACTCACGGCCAGCTCGATATTGGACCTAGAGAGTCACACACATATAGTAGGTGTTGCGACGAGTAGAGGTTTAGATATGAGA